AGAGGCTGAGAGCCAGAGAGCCATGGGACTCTTCAGCCTGGAGAAGCAAAGGCTCAGGGGTGACATGATGGCAGCCTATAAGTACATAAGGGGTATGCATCAGGAACTGGGAGAACATCTGTTCACTAGGGCACCCTCACAGGGAAAGACAAGGTCCAATGGTCACAAACTCCTGGAAGGTCATTTTAGGCTGGACATAAGGAAAAACTTCTTTACCGTCCGAGTCCCCAGGGCCTGGAATAAACTCCCCCATAGAAGTGGTGCAAGCACCTACTCTGGATACTTTTAAGAAACACTTGCATGCCTATCTTGCTGGAATCATTTGACCCCAGCTGACTTCCTGCCACTTGGGCTGGGGCTAGACCTGATGATTTTGTGAGGTCCCTTCCAGCCCTAATGTCTATGAAATCTATGAAGAAGTAGCAGGGAGAAGTAAAAGGAAGAATGAAGCCAGGATGACAGAGCATCTTAAATTATTTCTAAATATACTAGTACCAAATACCCATGTCATGTTTGGTCATATTTCTTGTATTCTGTTCCCCCACTTGAGATCACATCTCATATAAGTGTTTGTCTACACTTGGGAATTTAGTGAGATAGCTGTTCTGGAATGCATCCATATGGAAGGCTCTGCTATACCTAAAGCTGAAAAACCATTTTTGTTTCAAAGTTGATTGTTTTGTGTTCCATGATCTACACCTTTTACACAGTTTGTCTTGAAATTTGGTGTCCTTCGTGAGGTCACAGGATTGGGAAAGTGCTTAAAATTTGAGAACATCTAGGTTCCAAGAAACAATACCCAGAAATAAAAGCATTCCTTTAAGTTTGACAAACTATCAACATTTTCATGCATACCTGGGAAGTTAACATACAGCTCTGACTGGGTCCAGATGGGTCTCAGTTGATCTATCCTAGTTAGTTAATTCACTGTACTTGCTACTCCTTCTGGAAAAGGAAACTGAAAACTGTATTCTAAAACAAATGCATCTATTAGGAGAGGCAAGAACCTGAAGTTTAGCTAGAGTAAATTGTGTCTACATGCATGATTGATACTGTGCAACGTGCACAGTATAAGCCACTTAAGATACCTGTTAATAACATTTATATTATGCCTGTAGTAGCCATCATTTATAAAATCCCAATGATTTCAATATTAAAGGCAGTGCTTAAATGGAACTGAGCATGCCACCTAATTCATCAGGGAATAGCAAGTGCTCAGGTGTTTGCACCTCATTAAGGCTTGTTACCTTACTACCAAGAGCCACTTTGGGAACCTATGCTATTTGCACATTTAGGGCTTCTTACCATTTTACTTGGAGCCTTCATATTAACAAAGTTTAGTCAATTTTCATGACTCCTAATAGCACAACTGTGACAATGGTGGAGATAAGCTAGAACATGGCTAGCCAACCTGTGACAGGGGTGTCACAAGTGGAGTGTATAATGTGGCATGATGTGGGGCAGGAAACAGAGCAAATCAGTTAAGGAGCACAGGACTGGAAGCAGAATGCAGAGGAGCTGATCAGACAGGGGAGGAGGATCAGAGAGGCACTTTAGGAGTGGCCAAGGCTAATTTGTAGTTCACCTCCCAAAAAGGTTGCCCCTCCCACTAGGCAAGAAGGTGGAAGGATTAATAGCTGTTACACCCAGGATGTCTCTGGGGACTTTTATTTTATCTGAAGAAGTACCAGCAAAGCCAAAGCAAGTTCCTCCAAACTATGCGTTAGTTTATTAGGATATTATCAATCGGTCAATATTAAGAAGAACGGCTAGATGCAGCAGAGAATACACATACTCACTATTGGGTGATGAGGTCTCAGGGCCCACTACATCAGTGCTTAGGGTTTGAGGCAAGTTCCAGACTCCCACACCTCTGCTGTTGTGTGGGGGAGTTTTATATAGTTCAGGTTCAAACTTCAGTATTCCTGCCCATTCCTCTGAGATAAGGATCTCTTGGCCAGTTCAGTAGAGAGCAGGGAAGCTTGAGTGATGGCCTGTGAGCACTGTTCTTTCCTAGGGTCATCTTATTGAGTGTAATCACTAGCCTATGCAGCTCAACTCCCTTGAAACTGTCCCTCACAACCCCTTCTCTCACATGGTAATCATTGTGATTCAGCCTGAACTGCTTCTGGGATCAGACTATCTGGGAGGAGGAATGTAGCAACACACCTGATAGAGCAAAAAGGGGTTAGAGGTGCTCAGGACACCCTCCTCAAGCAAGAGTTTGATTTAGGTACCTCAGACCATAGCCAAAAGGATTTCTACCCTTCCAACCTTCATATGCAGTGGATAGCACAACTGGACATGAAGCAACCATTGAACCTGAGCCTATTAGGCCCTTGGCAAAAAACAAGCAAGGGGAAAGAGTAACAGTTCAGTGTCATCTTCCTCTGCCAAAAAGGATTTTCTATTATTAGCATGTATAACTGGGTCCCACTCCAGGGGTGTTCATGATGCCCCTGAAACTCCCTCAGCCCTCATTAAATTTTGCTCTCTTTTGGGTAACCTCCCCTTCCACACCTTGATGTATTTATCTTTTAGAGAAATGGAGGCTGCCCTCAGAAACTGATGAACCTAAGGTGCTCTCTTCTCCTGTAGTCAATTCTCCAAACCTTGCTTGGCTTAAGTCGTGACCTCCAGCCACCTCCCCCAGTCATGCCCAGGCCTCACACACGTTACATACCATCCATCAGTAGGCACTCAGACCCTTCCACCTTTAGGGGTCTCTACCCTACTGGGTTATGGGACTCAGGTCTTAGTTCTCACTGTCTCCTTTTCCTTCATTGGACCCCTGCTCTCTTTTCTCTCACTCCTTCACAGGTATTGAGCCTTCTCTAGGCTTCTCCTGAAGCTTTTGCTAGCTCTTTCTTTCTTCTACTGAGCCTTCCCTGGCTCCTACTTTCTTGCTTTTCTCTAGCTGTGTCTGCCTCAGGCACTACCAGCATTAGCAATGCATAGGGGATAGGACCCCCTGAGATTGACAGTGCACCCCCTGAGAGCAGCACCCTTCTGGTCATGTGCCTCCCCTGTCAGCTGACTTGACCACAAGGCTGTTCCTTAAGAGGAGCCTTGCTAGTTGCTTGTGTCTGTGCTACAAAAACCCTGCTCTTAGAGCAGCCATACCTTTTCCCAGGAACAGGGCAGTGTTCCTGTTACAGTGTGCAGCAGAAGACCGAGAAGGTCTCTAACTGTTTTCCCAAAGAAAAATCAGTCTCACGTGCAAATGGTTTGTGTGGAAAATAAACTCCACCTGAAAGGGAGAAGAGAAGAGCTGTGGCAAGTGGAAGGGCAAAGGAGGGGCAGGAACAATGTGACATGCCAAAAGTACAAACATCTGTTCCGATGCATCTTAATTTGAATACATTCAACATTCTGCCATATAACTGTTCCCAAAGAGAAGGATATTCATTGTTTGGCCCAAAAATAGAACCCATTTTCCAGGTAGCCTTTGAGATGTTCAGAAAATCCTGTCAGTAATTGCTTGATTACCAGACCTTGGACCCACGCTACTTGGATTTCTTGAATGATTTTTATTTTCCCAACAACCTGCAGCAGCAGGACACTGGCTGCAGTGGCCACCCTCCTTCACCTGTGGCTGATCAGGATGTTCTGCCCTGCAGCTGGGTCAGGCCTGACTGGGGAGTTTTGCTAATAGGTTGCACAGCTGAGTTGTATGGGATGCTTTGCACAGGCAAGCAGGGTCTTCATAGATTTCATAGACATTTGGGCTGGAAGGAACCCTGAAGGATCACTGAGTCCAGCCCACCTAGGGTTGGACTAGGTGGTCTCTGGAGATCCCTTGCAGCCTTACTTTTCCATGATTCTACAATTGTGGGGGCACATGGAGCCCACAGGCGGTTGGGAGGCAACAAACCATGGGGGGCAGAGGAAGCCTGACTACAGGCGCTGGGCACGGGACCTCGTGGGCCAGGCTGCCTAAGCAATGGAAACACAGGGGATCCTGAAGTTTCAACGGCCCAGCATTGCCAGGTCCTAAATATGAAACAATTGTATTGGAAAATCAAAATGATCATATTTGCTGAAAATTACTGTATGCAGGAAAATATGCAAATAGGCCTTATTTACTTTATATTGCTCACTAGGTTGCCAGTGAGGGAGTGAGAACTGGGTCAAAGTTGAATTTCTTGATTTCAAGTCAAGCAGTCCCATAAGAAAGTGCTGACAGCGCAGCAAGCCCAAACCTCCATTAAGATTCCTGGAGTGACTTGGGTTTGGCATTGGCCAACTCAAAAATTAGCAGATGTGGTTCTTTGGGGGAGTGGGTTATCTTTTATTAGACCAACTAAATAGTTGGAAAGAAATCACATTTTGCAAGCTTTAGGGCCAAACGCCCCTTTTCAGACAGAAGGGGAATAACAATCATCATCATACATGTTGAATACTTTTACTATTGTTGATTGCACATCGCACAAGGGGTGATGATGGTACAAATACGGTCATTCCCCTACACCTGGCAGCACGACAACTGCCTGAGGGGCCACAGCAGCCAGTGAGTCACGAATGGGGAGGGAGGGGACACATCCCGCTTCCTCCTTGACAAGGGGTGCAGCTCCTCCGCCCGCCGAGCCAGCCGCCCGAGGACGCCGCGGAGCAACAGCGAGAGAAGTGGGGGAATGAGCTCACCCGGGCACGGGGGTCAAGGCGGGACAGGCCGGAAGCGGGGGGCGGGCCTTCCGCGATGAGACACTGTTTCCGCCCACTCCCCTGACAGCCTGGAGCACGGAGAGCCCGCGGCGTCCCCGTCGCCGTGGGAACGAGTTCGCGTTACGCCCTGTCCCCGCCGCCATTGGCTGGAATTGTTCGAGAAGGTTGAGGAAGGCGGAAGCGGAAGCCGCACGTGGAGCCGGCGCCGCAGCTGCCGCAGTTTCTGGAAACTTCGCTCCATTGTATTTAAAGCGGCGGCGGCGCCGGCGCTAGCTTTTTCCACCGGTCGCACGGGCAGAGCCTGCTGCGCAGTGCCACTTCGGAACCGCCCCGCGCGGGCAGCACTGGCTCGCTATGGCCGTGGTGGGCTTCGACGTGGGCGCACAGAGCTGCTACATCGCGGTGGCCCGCGCCGGCGGCATCGAGACAGTCGCCAACGAGTTCAGCGACAGATGCACTCCGTGAGCGAACGAGCGCGGCCGGGCCGGGGCGCGCGGGGGCTGCAACTGCTGGGAGGCTCCCGCTCGTTCCCCTGCAGCGGGGGCTGCTCCGGCCCCTCCGGGAGGTCTGCGGGGGGAGGAGTCCGTCCCGGGCATCGCTGCGTGAGCGCTTGGTGCCTGTGACCGCGAGTAAAGCGGCCCGGGGCGGAGCTGCTGCTCGCGCGGCGCCGGGGGACCCGGTTTCTCAGCTCCCTTCCAGGATTGCGGGCAGGGAGGGAGGGAGGCAGGCGCTCTCTAAGCGATGGAGCCAGGCTCTCTGGGGAGGCTCCCTCTTGGGAGGTATTTTTTCAGTTCCCGCGAGGCAAACCTGGGTGGGATGCTGTAGTTGGGCGCCACTCTGCTTGGAGCAGGGGGGTGGGCTAGGTGACTCTCCGATGATCTGCTGCTTTCTTAAAGGAGGGTGGAAAGGATCCCACGGATGCACCGAGGTGCAGGGGGTGGCGTTGGGGTAGGGCAGTGTTGCTGGGTGGACGTGCCGCCTATTGGGAGGGAGTGTCTAGTTGTGTAGGAGGACACTGAAGCTTTTAATTTCATTGTCCTGCTAACGCTCATGCACAAAACGGGGGGCTGATGTCTGCGTTTCACATAGTAGAGGCAGTTAGTAGATGGACTCCTTTTTTCAAGTTGGGAGAGATCAAGCTAAAAACTGATTCAAATAGGACGAGGAAAGCTTTTATGTGAGCTTGGGCTTTAATTTCCTATTTAAAAAGACAAAGGGAGAAGCTTGAACTGAAGTTATGCCGTATTTTACATGCTCAAAAACAATATTGCCACTTACTGGGTCAGACTCATGGTCTATCTTGCCCAGTATTCTGTGTCACACTGGGGCTGTTTTCCTGTTTCTTGTCTGTTCATGTCTCTGGGCAGAGAGAGTATCACTGGGCAGTGTCCACTGGCTCCTTGGACTCATTTAGGGGCCAGTGGGTGTTGTCCAATGTACTCTCTCGGGGGTCCCACCTTGGTGCAATTGTTTTAAACTTACGACCTCGCTCCCCCCTGTTTTGGATTCAAGTTGTCCACCCAAATCTATTGACAAATAACCAATAGCAACCCCCATAATAGAGGGGGCTATTGATTTGTGGGTGTCAAGCCCCCATTAACCCTATATGTAAAAATAGGCTTGTGTTGCACAGTGGCAGAGAGGGGATGCTGAAAGGGAGAGTGGACTGGATATGACCAGGATTTTTCCCCTTGGTGCCGCAGGCAGTTAAAAAGCTTAAAATGGTGTTCTCCAGCCTTTTTTTATGGTGAAGATCACTTTTTGGAAGTAAAGAGCACCCCAGAATCTACTGTGCCTCCCCCCCCCCCCCC